GCGTACGAGTTGACCATTGTCATTTAGCGAACCGTCTCCCCTCCCGCCGCCTCGTTCCATTTGATTCTATTCACGCCCCGGGGGAGGACCGGACGTGAGGTCAGCCGCGGCTCGTCTAAGTTCGAAACTACTCCCGTGAAAAAAAGAAAAAAAAAAAAAAGAAAAAAACGAAAAATACTCCTCGCTAGAAAGGAGGAGACATTTTCGCGTGACAACACCACTCCTGCGTCCGTACCTTATCGTTTCACCGTTGTTCTCTTTTTTTTTTTTTTTTTCGATTTCTCTCGACTCGCTTCTCAATTCCTCGAGGGAAGAAGTCAGAGGTGAGAGTGTTATATTTATTTATAGAGTTCTCGAGAGTATTATATTTATTTATCGTGTTGTAAAATACAATTTATTTGTATTTATTATATTTATTATTATTTTATTATTCATTTGTATTTATTATATTTATTATTATTTTATTATTCATTTGTATCTACTATATTTATTATTATTTTATTATTCATTTGTATTTATCATATTTATTATTATTTTATTATTCATTTGTATTTACTATATTTATTATTATTTTATTATTCATTTGTATTTATTATATTATATTATTATATATTATATATTATTATATTATTATATATTATATATTATTATATTATTATATATTATTATATATTATTATTATTATACTTATTATACTTATTATTATGTAGAGTATTTATTACACTTATTATTATTATTATGAAGAGTATTTATTACACTTATTATTATTATGAAGAACATTTATTACATTCATTATTATTACGAAGAGTATTTATCACATTTATCATTATTATGAAGAGTATTGCATCGCGGATTTTCTTAATATTAAGTACAAAAGGCAATCGTACGGATTTTAATTGTTAATTGTTGAATCGAAATTTGACGCAGATGTAAAATTCATTGACAACACAGTGAAGATCGACACGATGGACAACACGGTCTCCGCGAACAGCCTGAAAATTAACCACTCGAAATGTGCCCTGCGCTTCGCATACGTTATCAGCTGCGCGATAAGCAGCTAAGTGTCCAAAACGCAGTTTAAAGCTGACCCTTCACGATCAGAATAGCACGGATTCCGTTAATCACGCCTCGTCACGTGGCACCATTCACCTCGACTCGCCTATCACGGTTCTATGAGATTTCAGAAACTGATTTAGAATCCGTCACGTTGATCGGCAATTGCGCGATGATACTCCTTGAATCTTCGACTCGCGGCAACGTGAAACAAGTATACGTATGTATACATTAATTAATTAATTCGAATGCCAATCGTTCTCTCCAAGGAGCTGTTTGTCTGGCGGAAGCGTTCGGCCGGAAATTACGTTCACGCTGCCGTGATTTTACAGTAAAAACACAGTCAGTTGAAATATAATTAAAAACATAATTCAATAATTCCGTATAATTCATTAATTTGAAATATAATGTATTCATTGATCTAAAATATAATTACCTTAATATATAATATAATAATATATGATAAATGCAAATGAATAATAAAATAATACTAGATAAAGTAAATACAAATGAATAATGAAATAATAATAAATATAAATACAAATAAACAATAAAATAATAATAAATATATTGCATGGTAGAAATTATATTGACATTGATTGATTGCGTGATTATATTTGAAATTGCTGAAAATAGTTACAAATAAATGTAATATATATTATATAATTGATATGAATTATAATTATATAATTGAAATTATTGATATTAATTGATTATAATTGATATTATATACGGTAAAATTGAAATTGTATTTATAATAGTTATAATATTGGAACGTAATTATAATTATATGATTATATTTCAATATTAATGAATATAATTATAAATAAATACAACATATATGATTGATATGAATTATAGGTAAATAATTAAAATTATATTGACGTTAATTGATGATAATTTATATTATATACAATAAAATTGAAATTATATTTATAAAAGCTATAATATTGAAATATAATTATAATTATATGATTATATTTCAATATTAATGAATATAATTATAAATAAATACAACATATATGATTGATATGAATTATAGTTATATAATTAAAATTATATTGGCGTTAATTGATTATAATTGACACCATATACGGTAAAATTGAAATCATGTTTATAATAGTTATAATATTGGAACATAACTATAATTATATGATTATATTTCGATGAATATAATTATAAATAAGTACAACATATATAATTGATATGAATTATAGTTATATAATTAAAATTATATTGACGTTAATTGATATCACATATGGTGAAATTGAAATTATATTTTTAATATTGGAACATAATTATAAATATAATTATAATTATACGATTATATTTCAAATTAATGAATATAATTATAAATAAATACAATATATATATATATATATATATATATATATATATATATATATATAATTGATATGAATTATAGTTATATAATTAATATTATATTGACGTTAATTGATATCACATATGGTAAAATTGAAATTATATTTATAATATTGGAACATAATTGTAATTATACGATTACATTTCAAATTAATGAAAATAATTATAAATAAATGTAGCATATATTATATAATCAACGTGAATTACAATTCTGTAATTGAAATTATATTAACTGATTGATATTACGTATCATAAAATTGAAACGATATTTGCATACAATTATATAGAAGTATAATTACAATTATACACTGTATCCAACAATTTGAAATATAACTCGGTGTAATTCGGCCTCGTTCCGTGCAACTACAATTTTATCCCGGAAGGGGATGAAATCGGCACGAATAAATCATTCACAAGCAACTCGCCAGCCGCTTGTTGTACGCGTATGGAAAATTGCATCGTCTAATATGGATATCACCGGTTATGGCAGCGTCAGATCAACGACGACGCGGTCGTGAACGCGCGTACGCGCGATCTGCTTAAAGGGACGTATAAATCTAAATCAGCCGGCGGATTACGGTCGTCGAAATAATTTATCGTCGCTTCGGGGCCGCCGGTCTTCGTTCCGGGGGCAATTTTCGCAAGATAATCGTTGCATGGCAACGGCGTGACGTCTCGCCGTCGGAACGACGTTAATTCGTCTTTTTCAACGGCGAAATTTCGATAAATCAAGCATCACGATCGATTTTTTTTTTTTTTTTTTTTTTTATAGACTATAAGGATTCTTCTCCTCATCGTATATTATTCATGGTTACTGAATACTGAATCGATCGAAATGATACTTTTGCAAAGAGATTGGTGTTTTCTTAAGTCGACATGTACTCGATGTTGAACTGTCAGCTGTTGACTGCGATTCACTTTTTCCACTATTGGAGAAATCTTTGTAGAAATGTGATGTGTTATAATTATTTACAGTGGTCTTTTATTATGGACATTTATATAACCGATGTTATGTACCGTTCTGTTGCAACTATCGTTCCTACAAATTGACATAATATATTATATTATTACTAATAAATTATATTATAATAATATTATATATTATATTATTACTAATAAATTATATTATAATAATATTATATATTATATTATTATTATAATATATTACAATAATAATTATTATGTAATAAAACTACATATATGTGTGTATAAATACATTTAAATACTTAAATAAGTAACTTTACAATATTAAACATTTTATTTTTATAACAATGGCTTGAGAAAATAATAGTAGTTGTGACTTCTATATATTTTTAGATTAACTAATCGAATTTCAGTAGACTAGCATTATATAACGCATGTAAGATATTCGTAGAAATTTTATGTAAAAAATTATGTTTCTTCATCAAAATGGGTCTTCCCCGTGGATTTCGACTGAAAATTTCAATTCAGAATCTTAAAATTGAAAGAAATTGAAATCGAGGTTGAAATTAAGAAAAAAAATCGAGGTTAAAATTAAGAAACGCAAAATTAAGATATTCGTAAAAAGTTCTCACAAGTGTTCGATTATTACATATCACGTAGCAAAAAATTACGTCTTTTTTTATCAAAATGGGTCTTCCCCGTGGATTTCGACTGAAAATTTGAATTCAGAATCTTCAAATTGAAAGAAATTGAAATCGAGGTTGAAATTAAGAAAAAAAATCGAGATTAAAATTAAGAAACGCAAAATTAAGATGTTCGTAAAAAGTTCCCACAAGTGTTCGATTATTACAACTACATATCACGTAGCAAAAAATTACGTCTTTTTTTATCAAAATGGGTCTTCCCCGTGGATTTCGACTGAAAATTTCAATTCAGAGTCTTAAAATTGAAAGAAATTGAAATCGAGGCTGAAATTAAGAAAAAAAATCGAGATTAAAATTAAGAAACGCAAAATTAAGATGTTCCTAAAAAATTCCCACAAAAGTTCCAAAAGTTCCTAAATCTTCCCCGTGGATTTCGACTGAAAATTTCAATTCAGAATCTTAAAATTGAAAGAAATTGAAATCGAGGTTGAAATTAAGAAAAAAAATCGAGGTTAAAATTAAGAAACGCAAAATTAAGATGTTCCTAAAAAATTCCCACAAATGTTCGATTATTACAACTACATATCACGTAGCAAAAAATTACGTCTTTTTTTATCAAAATGGGTCTTTCCCGTGGATTTCGACTGAAAATTTCAATTCAAAATTGTAAAATTGAAAGAAATTGAAATCGAGGTTAAAATTAAGAAAAAGAATCGAGGTTAAAATTAAGAAACGCAAAATTAAGATGTTCCTGAAAAATTCCCACAAGTGTTCGATTATTACAACTACATATCACGTAGCAAAAAATTACGTCTTTCTTTTATCAAAATGGCTCTTCCCCGTGGATTTCGACTGGAAATTTCAATTCAGAATCTTAAAATTGAAAGAAATTGAAATCGAGAAAAAGAAAAGAAAAAAAAAGAAAAAAAAAATACAAATTTTTCAAAGACAGTTGAAATTCCAAAAAAAAAAAAAAAAGACTAACTCCAGCGTATCTGGCGAATCTTTCAGACGGTGTCGGCACTCATGCTCTAGTAAACGAGCGTGGCAACTCGAGAGCGGAGCGGACAAGAGCGGACAGCACGATGTGGCGTACACTGGTGGTGGTGGTTCTGCTGGTGGCCACGACGGTGTCGGTGGTCGGCGACAAAGTGGTGGTCCTGCCGCACGACGTTTACCCGGGCTACGAGGTGACGCTGTTCAACACGAAACGTCCATCCAACTTCCACCTGATGGAGAACGGTTTCTCCAAGTTCTTCACGGTGTTGGGCAACGGCCTGGTCATGACCACGTCCGACCTGTCGCCGTTGATCGACCGGCCGGTGAACCTGATCGTGCTGGAGGAGCTGGCCAACAGCACCGAGACGCATTTCCTTCACCTGTACGTGATCAATCGGCGAAACATGATCACCTTCTCGCACGATCAGCTGGGCGAGGGCGAGGTGCCGGAGAATTCCGCCGGGGGCACGTTGATCGACGGTTTCCCCGTTCTGAGGGCCCGCGGCAGTTTCCCGGTTCACTACACGATCCTGCCGGACGAGACCGGCGACAGGCCGTTCGCGCTGAAGGAGGAGGACTCGAATCAGACGGGGTTCAACCTGACGTTGAACAGCCAGAAGGAGGGCGTCCGTGTGGTGACGGCGAAGCCGCTGGATCGCGAGAGCAAGAAGTCGTACACGGTGGTGATACACGCCACCGACGGCTATCTGCTCAGCAGCTCGCAGATCAACGGGCTGGTGCACGTGCTGGACGAGAACGACAACAGGCCGGTGTTCGAGAAGGAGCAGTACACGTTCGAGATCAGACCGAGCAACTTGGACCAGATTGGCATCGAGAAGAACTCGGTGGCGCTGCCTGGCTGGAAACGATTCTCCACGGTGGGCAAGGTGGCGGCCAAGGACGCCGACGGTGACAAAGTCGCGTACAAGTTGCTGACGCCGAGCAGTCTGTTGGTGGTGGTGCCGCAGACTGGCGAACTGATGCTGGTCGGCGAGCCGGAGATCACCATGGAGGAGGACAGCGAGTGCGTGGTGATCGTGGAGGCGCACGACGTACGCAGCCCGAGCCGATCCACCGAGAAACCGGCCAAGGTCGTCGTTCGATTTCTCACGTCCGAGCCGACGGGGGAGGTGGAGCAGCAGCAGCACCGGATACAGAAGAGACGGGTGACCAGGGCTGTCAGGCCGACGAAGAAGGTGGACTTCACGGAGGCTGACGGCGACGTCGAGGGGAAGATCGCGTTCTACCTGGAGAAGGAGAACGAGAAGGAGACGTACAAGATCAGGGACGAGAACAAGTGGGTCACCGTGGACTCGAACGGCTCGGTCATAGTGAAACAGAAGTGGGACTACGAGGAGCTAGGGTCGGAAAAGACCATTGATTTTTGGGTGACTATCACGAACACAGGTAAATTATAATTAACCTACCTTTCAACGATATTGCACTTTTCTCGACTAAAATTTCGGTTTACAAAAATTTACACGTTACACGTCGTTGATTTCATTTGTACTTGTTTTTAATTGTATTGTTTGATTGTATTTAGTATTTACTTTGTAAATAGCACAGTCTTTGCAAACACTTGCGTGTCTTGATTAATCTTCTGTTTTGTTGTTACTCGCCCCGGTGGCCGAAGATCGGTGCTCACGATATCCATCGTTTATGCGGTGTCCATTCCACGGTATTATGATTTTAATTTTTACACCATTCCGTCTTCTTCCTACGAACACGTTCGATGCCATTCGACCATTCGCCTTCGCACCGTCTATACTGTTGGCTCGGTTCTTCTCGTTCTTCTCCCGCACACAACCATCTTTCAAGGAGGACGCAGGTGTCTGTTCCTGCAGGCTTCTTAGAAACCGTGCACGCCAAAACGATCGTGTGCCTCATCGATCGACCGTCGATCGATGCCGCGAAAGTAGCGATACAACTTGTCCGGCCATCGAATTCGAACCTAGCACGAAACTTTCAACATTTTTCATTCTTCCGATAAAGCTAAAGAGAGGCGTGTTTAGGCAAACTTTAATAGCAAAATTTATTAATTGCCGGAACGCGTGTAAATGCTTTTGAAAGTTACGAGGCTCTATTTGTTACGAGGCTGCGAATATTAAATATACCGACATCGTTGCAAAGTATATATATTTCATATTATATTATATACACACACATTGAGCATTTGTTAGGAAATAAAATATGATAAAAAAGGAACTTTTAAAAGGCGAATATTAAATACATCAATATCGTTACAAATGAAAAGTATATATATTTTATATTAGGTTATATATACAACGCACTGTGTATTTGTTAGGAAGTAAAATATAATAAAAAAGGAACTTTGTCTCATGTTAATTTTTAACTGATCGTTCTTACGCTTGACTCGCACGCCACACACACACACACACACACACACACACACACACACACACACACACACACGGATCCATCAAGACCGCCAAATTTAAATCATAATTCATTTAAATCATTTCACTCAACATTATTTAAATTCAGAAACGGATTCATTCGGTGTTAAATGAAATTGCCGAACTGGCGGCTCGCCCCTCTTTGCCTCCTCCATGCCCTACTTTATTCTGTCTCCTCCGGAGCGCCGCCATTATCCACAACTTGTGTGATCAAAATTAAGAATACTTTCGTATCGACCTCTTTTTCTTTTTTTAATAAAATACGACAAAGAGTATATTCTGTAAGAGTATATAGTAACAATTAATAGCAACAGTAATAATTAATTGCTACAGTTGTATATTGTGGAAAGCTGAGTTACAAAAATGAAAATGAGGTCGTAGAAAGTATTTTTCCATAAACAGACAAAGTCCAGTTGTAAATTGTGGAAAGCTGAGTTACGTGTCATAAAAATAAATCAGAAGGAAAAAAGTTCTGTAAGAATATATAGTAACAATTATTTGTCGAGTTGTAATTTACAGTAATTTAACAACGTTACAGTAATAATTAATTGCTACAGTTGTATACTGTGGAAAACTCAGTTACGAGTTACAAAAATGAATCAGAAAAAG